GCTGGCTGAAAGCAGGTTTCTGGGGTTTTGTTTAGCTTCTATATTTGTAACAATGTTTCAAACTGCAAGTTCAGAGGCCGGCAGCGGCAGGCGGGGAACGTTGGCTTCCTCCGTCACTGAAGCAAGCAAGCCTCATGTTCGCTTCAAGCTGCCTGGCTGCCGGCCGCCATCTTGGCTGGCAGTTAATTTGAATATCGCCCTGATTAGCCAATGGGAAGGGTAGCGGAGGTACGGCTAATTACCATGTTTCTCTATTATTAGATAGGATAGTTTACCTGTTGAAAAGATCAAATATGATAATGACAGTAAATTTTACTCAACTGACTGTTAACACTACAAAACATGCTACAATGTACTGACAGCATTGATTAATATGGTTAATTAATGATAATATCCAAGCAATTTCTAAGTCCACCAGTAAGCTGGATTCTGGTTTATAAGTGGTTAACATCTCTTTTCTATGTGAGTGTCAACGTTACTTCAGGTTCTCAGCAAACTTGCGTAGGTATTAAGGAGAAAGCTACATTAGTTAGGAAACTACAAGTATTTTACAATTACACAGAGACAATTGTATTTTATGTACAGGTTATTAGAAAATATGATTTATTATCATATTTTATGGAGAAGGGGGAGGCATTTTAAACTATCCTATGTTAGGCTTGCTTCTGGTTGACTATTACATTTCCTTCTTCTTCTTAATCAGGAGAAGTTATTACTCTGATGGGTTGTTTTGGGGCCACATATAAAACACAGAGTCACCTTGAAGGCTGGACCCACCTTCACCCTTTCATTTATATCTTCCTGCCTCAGAATTTAGCAGGGCCCAGCCCATCAGGGAGGTTCTCTTCACGTTTTACAGGCCATTTTTTCTCTTTCTCTAAATCATTGTTTCTGGCTTAGGTACCTGGATGCAGCTTGGTGAGCCCTGGACATCCTTTCTCTGAATATCACCTTGCAAGACTGAGTAGGCCTAATCCAAAATTCAGGGAAAGTAGGAGTGGCCTGGATTACCTGGAAAGTCTATATTGTAAGATGCCTTTCAGACTGTTATCATTCCGTGTTTAATGTTAAAATTTAACTCCATTCTCAGAACATCTGTAGTGTGTACAGTACTAGGAATCCTAAGGAAATGAAGCAAATGACAGGATAGGATTTGGTGATATCTGTTCCTGCCCTATAATACTATTATCAAACCAAACTTCACACTGTACTTTTGAAATATACTTCTTTGTGACCAGAATGTTAATGCCAAAGTTATTGTCCATCAAAAACACCCTCTATACTACTTTAGCACCTGACATGTGTATTTTGTTTTTCAAATTGTTATCTGAGTTAATTGGAGCTACCCTAATAGTTTACCTTTCATGTAGAAATTTCTTTAACCAGACCTTTTACAGAGTTTAACACACTCATTTGTTTTCTGCTCTAAGGTAGTTTATCTAACCTTTTGAGGAACCTGGGCAAGGGCTGATGCAAACACATTGGCTTTCTCTTCTGTCATGTTAGTGACCATCGACCCCAGGGAAAACACCACAATACCATTTTCTCCAGAGCTCTGGACAAACTCTTCCATTTCCTGTGAAGAAAGAATTTTTTCCATCACAAAAGAGCAATAGCATAGTGAACACTATTGAAGGGATTGCTACAAACAGCCAAAGAGAAAATTAAGTATTATAAGGAGTTATTAGTGTAGTCGCAGGGGTCCTCAAACTACCGCCGAAAACATTTATCTGGCCCGCCGGGTGTTTTTGCCGCCGCTGCCTGTCCTGCTTAGCAGCTGACTCGTCCCAGGCCCGCAGTGTGCATGTGTGGAAGAGGGACAGTGAACTGGCCCCCTGTTTAAAAAGTTTGAGGACCTCTGGTGTAGTGTTTGTTATTTTAAATTGTGTTAAAATGCACATAATATAAAGTTACCATCTTAAGTATTTAAAAATATTTTTATTGATTTTTAGCAAGAGAGAAGAAGAGAGAGGGAGAGACAGAGAGAATCATCTATTGGCTGCCTCCTGCATGTTCAAGGTGGCGGGGCCCACAAGCTGGGCATATGCCCTGACTGGGAATTGAGCCAATAACCTTTGGTGCATGGGACAGTACCCAACCAACTAAGCCACACTGGCCAGGGACCATCTTAACCATTATTTTTATTTATTTATTTTTAAAATATATTTTATTGATTTTTTACAGAGGAAGGGAGAAGGATAGAGAGTTAGAAACATTGATGAGAGAGAAACATCAATTCAGCTGCCTCCTGCACACTCCCTACTGGGGATGTGCCTGCAACCAAGGTATATGCCCTTGACCGGAATCGAACCTGGGACCCTTTAGTCCATGGGCCGACACTCTATCCACTGAGCCAAACTGGTTAGGGCAATCTTAACCATTATTAAATGCACAGTTCTGTAGTATATATAGTCTTATTGTTATGCAACCCATCTCTAAGTACTTTTTCATCTTGCAAATTGGAACTGACAATCATCATTCTACTTTGTTTCTATGCATTTGAGTAGTCTAGATACCTCATTTGTTGCCATTTATTCATGCACTCATTGGCTGCTTCTTGTATGGGCCCTGATTGGGATCAAACCTGCACCGTGGCACACTGGGACAATTCTCTAACTAACTGAGCTACTTGGCCTGGCCAGTACTGTTCTTAGCAGCAGTAAAAATAACAATAGTAACAAGAGTTAATATTACTTTTGTGTCACTATGTGCCATAGACATTGTAAGTATTATATATATATATAAAGAATTTTTTTATACTGAATAGAAATATGAGGTTGATATTATAACTATAAGAGTAAGTGTATTCACATCTTTAATGTGTAGTTTTCCATTATTTGTTGCTGGAATTCTCGCAATGACCTCCTCTTTGTTTGCCTTTCCACTCTTGACCCTATGCAATTCAACCCAGACATTGCCTCTTGAGAGCTTTGTAAAAAGGAAAATCTGATCATATCTCTGCCCTTTTACTCCCTTTGCCCCTTTTCATTGGCTCCTGAATACTTTCATAAGATGCTTCAGAATTCTTATAATTACTTACCTTTAATTTACTTCTCCAGCATCATCTGCCTCTTTTTTCAGCCTCTTCCTGATACACTAAACTTGGACTTTTTGGGAATTATTATTCTTTTTCTTGCATTACCTTTTGTGTCTTCCTTTCTTACCATTCCTTTCTGCTATTAATACACAGCCTTCAGTTCCCACTTAATTATTAATAATATGAAATATTTTCTGTATTCCCTGCTGGATATTATCTAGCATTGTGGTCTTTCCTTATTATACTACTTTTCACAAAATTTTTATTACTAATACTAGAGGCCCGGTGCACGGATTTGTGCACTGGTTGGGTCCCTCAGCCTGGCCTGCGCCCACTCGCAATCCAGGACCCCTCGGTGGATGTAGTAGTGCACAAAGTGGCAGACAGCTGGAGAGGAGCCCAGGCCAGGCGCCACACTGCTCCTGCTCATCCCAGTCCCCCTGTGCCTGCAGCTGCTGCTGCTCAGTAGTGCTGTCATGAAGGTGGGATAGGCTCGCACTGCACAGCTGCGCTCACCAGCTGTGAGCCCAGTGTCTGGCGCCTGTTGGTCAGCTGAGCGGCACTCCCACTGTAGGAGTGCACTGACCACTGGGGGGCAGCTCCTGCATTGAGCGTCTGCCCCCTTGTGGCCAGTGCGCATCATAGCGACTGGTCGACTGGTCATTCGGTCACTTAGGCTTTTATGTATATAGATTCTGTCTTTCCAAGTAGAATGTTGGGTATTTATGGATAAAAATTGTGTCTTCACTGATTCTCTTTTATCCAGTGCTTATCTCTGGCTATGTGAGTCACTCTAAGAATGTCTTTGAATGAATGATTGACACTTTCTTATGTGTTCAACAGGGAAGACCTTAATTTAACTGAACCTATTTCCAAAGTCTCCCAAATATAATTATTTATTTGGTAGTGATAATGACATTCAAATTCTTGAAATAGTATAAAATATATGAGTTCCTAATGGTCACTTGACCCAGATTCCCATATCTCTCACTGTGTGATCAGACAATCTTAATGAAGAACACAGAATCATTCCCACTGAAAGTGCAAAATAATCAAAGTAGAACAAACATGAATAGTTTTACCTTAGGCAGAGGCTTAGCAGGTTTGCAGTGGAGGCCTCCAACAAATTCAAAATGTGGCAAGAGTGGGCGAGGGAATTCAAAATCCCAATAAGTTCGAATAAGCCACATTTCAGCTTTCCCCATTAACTCAAATAATGTAATGGGTTTTCCTGAAGGGAAAAAAAGAAAAGAAAAAAAAGGTAGTGAAAATGAGACTAGTGTAATGTGAATATAACAGGTAATTTTCTGAAAGGAGCTTAGAGTAATGTAGCCAAAGATGTTTAAAAGTGATTGGCTTACACTCTTTTCAAAATTGCCTGATACTGGCACAAGAACAGATATATAGAGCCATGGAACAGAACAAAGAACCCAGAATTCGACCCAAGCCATTATGCTCAATAAATATTTGACAAAGGAGGCAAGAACATACAATGGAGTCAAGACAGTCTCTTCAATGAAGGGGGTTGGAAAAATTGGACAGACACATGCAAAAAAAATGAAACTAGACCACTATACACAAAAATAAAATCAAAATGGATAAAGGACTTAAATGTAAGACGGAAAACCATAAAAATTTTAGAAGAATCCATAGGCAGTAGAATATCAGAATGTCGTAGCAATATCTTTACCTATACAGCCCCTAGGGCAATAGAAACTAAGGAGAAAATAAACAAATGGGACTACATCAAAATAAAAAGCTTCTGCACAGCAAAAGAAACCATCAACAAAACAACAAGAAAGCCCACTGCATGGGAGAACAGATTTGCCAATTTTATCTCTGATAAGGGCCAATCTCCAAAATTTATAGGGAACTCTTACATCTTAACAAAAGGAAGACAAACAATCCAATAAATAAATGGGCAAAAAACTTAAATAGACACTTTTCAAAATAGGACATACTAAAGGCCAGGAGATAGATGAAAACATACTCAAAGTCACTAATCATCCGAGAGATGCAAATCAAAATGACAATGAGATACCACCTCACACCTGTCAGGATGGCTATTATCAACAAATCAACAAATGACAAGTGCTGGTGAGGATGTGGAGAAAAAG